AATAACCAAATCTATTTGTAATCTTTGCAGTAACTTGGTTTCGATCAAATTGTATTAAATTTACTCCCCACATTGTTTATTCCATTGACTGTTGCTATTGTATATGGCCGTTGTGTTTGGCGTTGTAATGGTTTGAATAACTTTGTTATAATAAAACATGAAACTTTGGTATGCCGAAATGCAATATGTAATATATTTGGAACATAGATATTATTTTTTATAAAAACACAACACAAATAATTGGAAATTCTGGTGCATGGGTCGGCACAATTCCGTTTTTCTATGTTAATTTTTTTTATTTTTTTTGTGGCAAATTTTTTACACATTTTTTAAACCGATAATTAAAATCTTTTTTGGCTTTTGCAAGTGACAATTATAGAACAAAGGAGCAGAAAAAATGTTATTCGAAATTGTTTTTATATAACATTTTATTTATTAAATTGTTATATCAAACAAACAATAGTAAAATCAAGTAGTTTTGATGCTATGAAAACTAGTTTAATATTATAGTATTTATATATTATGATTTATGATTTTTATTTATTATACAACAGTTATTAAAATATAGATAAATTAAAAATAACTATAGTACAGTATTACGAAATTATGTTTTTAACGATAATATATTTATAATACTTATTAATACAATTTTATTAATTTAACAAATAAAACATCATTATTTAATTTTATTAACAAATTAACTAAAATGATAATATTTTTAATTGTATATTTACGATTGATTTCAACAAGAAAAAATAAAATACATTGTTAATAAATAACAGCAATAAAATATCAATAATAATTCTAAATTTTAATTAACACTATTTTAAATTTGTTTATTAGTATTTATTAGTAAATTACTAGTTTATTTAAGACATTATTATATTTATTCATTCTATTCCATTGTTTTAATAATCAAGTATTTAAACAATTATTTTATATGAAATTTTATATGATTAAATTATAAATATTAAATTATTTTGAAAATTGACTAATCCAAACCCACCATAAGAAGAATTCAATTAAGTTTTTCTTCATTTTATCTTATAAAATGAAGTAATATAATAATTATCTATTATGGGATTTCAAATTAATTATTAAATTGTTCTAATCAAGTTATAATATGTTTCGATAATTATTGTAATCAATTAAAAGTTATGCCATGAAGATAAAAATATTCGTAATTTTAACACAAGAAGATTGATTAATCGCATATCTAGAAAAATAATGTTAACAGTATTTAATTAAATGTTGGTTTTTGTTCTTTCTTTTTTATTTGATGTGAAGCAAAGTTATATCATTTCAATTTATAAAATGACTGCGGTGCAAGAAAAATCAACTGATTAATGACAATAACTTAAATTCAAAGTCATAATTAAAAAATACAAAAAACCTGTAATTTTTCCAAATTTAAACATATTTAAACTATGTGTTGGTGTTGTCAGTGTGACGACACCAAGAAAAGACAATTACGTTTTTGTATTAATTATTTTTCTTTTTATTATGTACAATAAAAACAAAGAAATGTAAGATCAACTTGGTTATGTCAAAAACAAGTTAACAGTAAAAAAGTCATTATTTGACACAGTGGTTTCAACGTTATTTGATTTTTCGCTTCATAAATTATATTCTCGTTCACTTTCTTTTTTAAGTTTACAAAAGTGACTGTATTAAAACGCCAAGAGCAGCGATTGACACACTTTTGTTATTAAAACCGAAAGAAAAAAGGCAGCCCTACGGGAAGTTACTATTATTGTTTTTTGATTGAATGATTTAGTAAGTTTTTTCATCTTTTTTTTATAAACATATATAAAAAATAATTAATAATAATAAAAAATGAAATAATGTAAACTTGAATAAAATTATAGACACAAGAAGTGATTTTTCGTTGATTACATTACATGTGAACTAAGCAATAATTA